GTTGGAGGGGGAGGGGGGGGGGAGGAGGGACTTCTAAGGTCGCAACTGGATCATAGTCCATATCAAAGTACCATTTTTTACATAATTGCGCCTCTAACCACCTGGTTCCATGCCTGTGTCTACGTAATTCGGTTCAGTTTAGTAAGAGATAAAATTTAAAAAAAACGGGGGAAGGTTGTTTTGAAATTCCGTCCGAGTGGGAACAGCTGCGTCGCCATTGGTTGCAATTGCGCATTAGAAGGGGGATAAGTTCAAAATCACGCTGATCCCATCATTCTTAGGCCCCCCAATGAAGCACCTGGCATTTTAGGCTAGGCAAACATCCTTCCCAACGCCTTCTCCTCTTTTCTTCTTCTAAAAATATAGCCTTTGATAGGAGAAATTTAGACCTAAATACTCGCCTCAGATGAGACAGTTCAGGATGCTTTTAATCAATTTTCTTTTTTAAAAAGAAAATGTACTCATGAGAGCTGCCTCAAGTCGTGGATCTACTTGGGATCTATTTGAATGCTCGTCCAAATCTGAACTATAACACTTTCCACTTCGTTTAACCTGCTAGAAATAGTATTTCTGAATGAAAAGTCTGCATGTGAATCATTTCCTTGTACAAAGGAAATACTCTAATGACATATCTTGGTGATATTGTCTATTGGAAAACAGTGAGCACTTGGATTAGTTAGTAATAGCCTAAAATGGTGATAATTACTGAAAGAAAGAACCAATCACTACTGTAACAAATTTCCCCTGACATTTGTATGAAATTATTGTCATCTTTTATATCAAAAGTAAAATAAGTCGTTATATATTTGTGGTGATTCTTGTGGTTAGTAGGTAGTCTCAAGCACTCGATACTGCTGGTTAGATGGTCTTGTGTCGATAGATCAGTCTGGAGATCGTAGTTCTTTGAGTCGAGCTGCAGGTAGAAATTCGAGTGGTGCAGGAGAGATGGTGAAATTTTCGACTCGGATTGAAGCATGCTTTAGTCTCTCCCTTTTGGCACTTCAAAATTTGACCTTGTCACTTTGGGCGTATAATTGAAGAGCATAAATTAAAAATAAAAATTTGATCTGATGGAAGTAGTACTCAAATGCTCATTATATAGATAGTAAGGCAAACATTTTGGGAAATTGTAATTTTCACAAAATTATTGTTAATTAAAAAGTCTGTTTTCATCCTGGGTATCTAGGGGTTACTTTCATTTACTAGGTAAATAAAATTGCTGTGAATTTGGAGCCATTTTAATCGCCAACGCTCCTTAAATGCAAATTAACAAAATCAAACTACGCTTTAAAATTTTGATTGTTCAGGACTCCGATTTACCCGATTTCGGAAATCAAACGTTCGCTAGTGCCTCAAAGAAGGTGAGTACCACTTAGTGAAGCTCCCCCACTAACTTGCCCTATTCGTTGAAAACGTTGTCTTGGCTTTGCGGTAGAAATTGCATGCATTTTATTTTGGGGGAGGAATCGAGGCGCCCTATTAGTGACTCTTTCAGTTGAATAGACATTTGTACTTAATTTCACTCAGTGGCACTTGCAAGGTAGTTGTAATTGTATTGAATGAACTTTTTTTATTATAATTACTACTTCAATGACTTTAAGAGTCACAAGTACCAAGGAGAGTGAGGTTGATGGGGGGAGGGGGGTGGTGGGGCGGGCTTTAATACCTGTTATAGCAGAAAGGGGAAAAATATACATATATATATATATATATATATATATATATATCATTTCTTACACATGTCATTTGAATTACATCCCAAAAATGCCCAAATTTTCCCTATCCAACTTCAGTTAAAATCGGGTATATTTATCCACTTAATTGGCAAAAATAGACAAAGTATTCAAGCTCAAAATTTCCAAAGTTTCCTTAAACAAAACTTTTTATTGAATTAACGCCAATGAATGCAAATAACTGCCTATTTACAGTTCACTATATGCACAATATTTTCTATGGGTTGGTGAATTTCAGATTTGGTCTGTAGTGTTCACTAGTCATTTTTGCAATATCACTTTCATGTTTTGGTTTGATATTAATTTTATTCCTTGGAAAAGATGAAAACCCATATCAATGAATTAGTATTTTATTTGAAACCGTTATTTGAAGGAAGAGGACAATTTAGAGAATCTAAGTTTAATTTAGGTAAACTTTCTCGCAAAATTTGCTCTTTAAACACCGACAAAAGTCATTCGAATTAATAAATATGCACTACCAACTGATGAGTGAATATTTGAGGTTATGTAAGTTCCACTTCTTAAATTCTTACATTTTTTTATCAATTCAAATCGCAAAAAATTAAAGTAGCCTTGATTTTTCGTCATAAAACCTATTCAGTGCAATAATTTTTGTTTAAATTAACTCTCAGATGACTGGATTCATTATTATATACCTGTCAGTCTTGATTATGGTTGATTTTAATTAGGAAAATTAGTTCTGCTTCTTCACCGAGGAAACAATGTCTTAAATTTGCCCGTTTTTGAGAGTTAATATGCGACCAAAAGAACATTTTCAATATTTTGAGGGAACATTAGGGTTGAGATGTTTATTATGATTAAAAAAGCTAGTAAATACCTTCTAATAGGGTATTTTGCAGTGAAATGGGCTGATATTATGTATGATTTTGTGGATATTGTACAATGCAATTAATTGGAACCGAATGTGTATTCAAATTTTGTAATATCGTGAAAGGTACAATGTAAAGAGTTTACCTATGATTTTTTTTCATTTTTTTCGTTTATTTTACATATTTGCTCTACATTTTTCGAAATTGCAAATATATATATATATATATTTATATCAAATGGCAGGCGTTTTGGTAGTTATCATTAGCCCTGGAGCTGACTTCGGGGCTTCACATTTTGAAAGTTATCATTAGCCCTGGAGCTGACTTCGGGGCTTCACAGCAGAGATAGGAAGGTACATCTAAGTCGAGAAGGGGAACAGGAGAGTGATACACAGGTGTGAAAGAGACAGGCACAAAGGCATAAAAAGGCAAGATGAGTACTGTGGAAGGGGTCGAATATGACAAATAGTCGGGCCATAGTAGTTTGAAGTCAGAAGTCAACTGCCGATCAATAGGCCTTTTTGCCGTATAAGTATACGTTGCCCAGGGTGTACCACGTGGAGATAAATCTATTGCAAACGTTAACTTGTTTAAAAATAGGGGGAACGAATTTCTTGTGGACTAAACATTCAGCTGCACAGACCAATCCTGGTTGACATGGAGAAGTGCCAGATTTTGGGATTCGCTTTAGGAGGTTCTAATGATGGCATCCCACATTCCAAAATGATTGAGTGGTAAAGTTATTTAAAACTTGTTAACTTTTTATTGTATATCAAAAATGAAGGTGACGAATTTTTATTAATGTGTATTCTTTGGGGATGCTAATTATAATTATACGCAGATAACTTCAAGTATCACTTCAAAATTAGTAGTATTAATCGAAATATTTTTGATGGGCTACATAACTGATGGAGAAAAAAAATTGAAATTCACCAATGTATTTGGTGCCTCATAAGGGCCACAAGAAATAATTGACTTATAAATTGAAGTCAAGCTTACTTTAAAATAAACACCTCGCTCTAACGGAAATAGACGTGATGTGAAAGATAAAAATTTAATCAGGATTATTGATAGTCTGGCAGAAAATCTCCCTCCATTTTTAAATATATTTTTCTCCCTTTCCTGATTTAGAACACCGCTTTGTAAATAGAGGCAACTTTCATTTACTTTTAACTGATTAGACGAGTGAAGATACGCATTGGGTGCTGGGGTGGTGTCGAAGGGGGGAGGAGGCATATTTTGCTTATAAAAAATTTTTATATTAATCTTTTCGGTCAGGAGGATTTCTTGCTTTGAAATCGGACAACAAGGTAGGCGTAAAATGGAATTCGACCTAAATTGGCGAATACTGGTTACCAAGGCTGTGACAGAATGTCCACAGTGCGTGTGTGTGTGTGTGTGTATGTGAATATATGATAACGTATTTCTTTAATTACACATGGGATTCGACTTCAGTCAGGGTCGATATTGGGATCACACATTTGGGGACATGAAAGACACGAAGTGGGGTAGACAGGGAGATATATGACCTGAACTGGGTTAATCTTGCGCAAATCCCCAAGCCCCTCTATTTTATCCCCTATTCCACACCACCACCTTGCTTGCAAGATTATATACCTCCACCTTCGGCCTAGACCTGACCCTCGTCATGTCAATTTCTTGATTATAGGGGGGGGGGACGTTTTGCTGTTGGTCATTGGGATCAATTAAGGCCAAGACCGTGTTTAAGATTACTTGGCTTTATTTATAAGTGAATTACCGCTAATTGCACTGTTATGATTACAACTCAAGGGCTGTCAAAAAATTACTATTTTTGCAATGAAAAGAGACTGAAATCAATTAAAAACCTAATAATCCAATCAGAAGCAAAGAGGAGGGAGTTGAGTAGGGGGTTGAGGCTAAAGTCAGGTTATCAAAAGCGTCTCAAGTCAATTGATTTTTACAATGTAACTTAAAGTTAATACCCATTAATGCCACTATTCTGTTGTCCAATTTAAGGGTTAACCAATTATACTCTGCGTGAAATGTTAAGGAAACCCTCTCACATTCTAACGAAGATTTCATTTTTTGTCTAAATGCCTTTAAAACCTTATTTAAGCTCCCTATATGGAGATGAAACGATTCTACGCAGTAAAATTTAAAAAAAGAAGTGGCCTTTGGGATTTGATGTTGAGAGAAAAATTTTCCAAAGCATAGTCTTGGCAAACCAATTAATATATTTTATCATTTTAATTTTAATTTCGTTTCCTCGGACAAAATATAAAAGGGAAGAAAAAATATTTATTTGCCGAGCATGAATAAAAAAAATATTTATTTATTAATATCAAAGGGCAGGCTCTATGATTGTTAACATTAGCCCTTTAGCTGACTTTAGGCTTCATAGATGAGGGAAAAATCAAAGTGACAAAAGACGAGGGGGGGGGACAGAAGAGTGATTCGCAGATGTAAAATAGACAGACAGGCACAAGGGTAGAGAAAAGGTAAGATGAGTATTATGGAAGTGGTGGAGCATGACATACAGTGGGGTCATTGTAATTTGAAGCCAGAAGTCAACTGTCGGTTCAAAGACTTTTTAGCCGTATGAGTATACGTTGCCCAGGGTTCACCACGTGAAGGCAAGTCCATCGCACAGCCCATATAAACAAAATATTGAGAACATTCTTTGTCAAATATAGATCCAGCTGGGTTCTTCCATGATCGTCATGTTCATTTGCCGTTGGAAGTAAAAAATGATTTGAAACGTCAAAACAGACTTTATTAATCTAACCAACATCCAGTAAGTTCCGAGTAATCTGATCAACAAATTTTGTAGTAATTATGCTAAATGTCCATGAACTACTAACTTCGCAAGGTTAGAATTGTCCAGCCTGAATCAAGCAAGTGAAAAGAATAAAGATTCTTTTGATATCTAAACTTCAATCTTTGCTCACTTTCACAGCACTTTATCTTAAATTCCACTTACTGTCAATTAAATTCCTTTTTTCCTCCTTTACTCCGTTTACTTTTAAAATATAGCCTTTCCTCTATTTGTGTGAAAAAACTATCAGATGCCTCTCATAATATCTGCTAATTTGTAAATAAATGATAATTAAGGCACTTTAATTTCTATAACAATAAAATTTAGAAGTGCATTTGCCTTACAGAAGGCAATATTTTTGAAATAAACATATCTTGCGGAGAGCAAAATTGCGGCCAATTTAAGATTTAGAAAGATATTCTGGATAAATTTATAAAAATAAAGTATGCAGTTTTAGCAAGTGGGTTAAAATTCTTAAATATTTATTTCAAATGGCAGGCTTTATGATATTTATCATTAGCCCCCCTTAATCCTTTGACGTTCCGCTTCCCCCAAGAGGGGGGGGGGTACATTTATAGCAGTTAGCTTCCCCCAAGGGTAGGGGGGGGGGACATTTATAGCAGTTAATTCCTACCCCAAGAGGGGGGGGGGATACATTTATAGCAGTTAATTAGCAATTCATGAAGGGGGGTACATTTATAGCAGTTAATTAATAGCAGTTCATTTAGCTGTCTTCTTGCTTCCCAGTATCTCTGGCTTAATTACATTTATAGCAGTTCATTAATAGCAATTCATTAGCTGTCTTCTTGCTTCTTACATTTATAGCGGTTAATTAATAGCAGTTCATTAGCAGTCTTCTTGCTTCCCCGTACTCTGCTTTCAGCTCATTAGCTGTCTTCTTGCTTCCCAGTATCTCTGGCTTTCTTGCTTGTCTTTAGAGCTGGACACCGAATCAGGTGGGTCTTCCTTGTCTTTAGGGCTGGACACCGAATCAGGTGGGTCTTCTCCTTGTCTTTAGGGCTGGACACCGAATCAGGTGGGTCTTCCTGTCTTTAGGGCTGGACACCGAATCAGGTGGGTCTTCTGTGTCTTTAGGGCTGGACACCGAATCAGGTGGGTCTTCTCGTTTCCTCATGTAGGTTACATAGAGGGCATGTGGGTTGAGTTTAGGTTACATAGAGGGCATGTGGGTTGAGTGTATACTCCCAGGCTACATAGAGGGCATGTGGGTTGAGTGTATTCTCCCAATATACCGAATCAGGTGGGTCTTCTCCATTTCCTCCTGTAGGTTACCGAGTAAGGTGCGTCTTCTCCATTTCCTCCTGCAGGTTACATAGGGGGCATGGCTTCTCCATTTCCTCATGTAGGTTACATAGAGGGCATGTGTTTGATAGGCAATCGTGTTCGGTACGTAGTCTAAACTCATCAACGGCTATCTGTGAAGGTGTTTTGTCAAGCAATCGTGTCCGGTACGAATCTGTGCAGAGGGCATGTGGGTTGAGTGTATACTCCCAGTCTGTGAAAGGGGGCTGGTTGAGTGTATACCCCTATTCTGTGAAGGCGTTTTGCCAGGCAATCGTGTCCGGTCAGTGTGTCTTCTCCATTTCCTCATGTAGGTTACATAGAGGGCATGTTTGAGTGTATACTCCCAATCTGTGAAGGTCCATGTGGGTTGAGTGTATACTCCCAATCTGTGAAGGTGTACATGTGAGTTGAGTGTATACTCCCAATCTGTGAAGGTGTTTTGATAGGCAATCGTGTTCGGTACGTAGTCTAAACTCATCAACGGTCGATTCTCGCCGCCGGGTATGTCGGAGAGTGCCACTGTCCACTATTTCTCCTTCTTAAATATTGAATACTTTATTTATTTAACTAATTAATTTGAATAAAGTGGCAACACGCTATTTGAAGTGCTCAAATTGAGTTGCATGCCTCTTGAGACTGTAAAACGCATATTTATAGGGCGCCTTATTGAATCTTAACAGTTCGGGAGAGTGGAAAGAATTGTTGTTGTAGTTGGTGCTTTGTGAATGGCTAGGATTATACTTGATTTCATTCGGTTCACCTCTTACATGATATCAGAAGAAGACACGAGATCGTCTAACGGTACTGCCATCTTAATTCTAAATCGGCGCATTGGAGCATGATTTTGCTTCCATAAAGTGAACTTAGAGAACTAAATTTTTCTCTATCCACCGTGGCCGATACTTTCGAACAGATCACGCACCTTTAAGAGTTCTAATTTCATGAAATATAACATAATTATAGTGGGCTCGATAAGTCAAATAAGAATTTTTTTCGAGACTCTTAAGAGAAGTATACACTTTGAATTTAGTAATGGCTTTTCGATTCGTAAGGTCACGCTAAATTCTTAGATAGTGAGCACCAATTGTGTTACAAATTTTACAAATTGTGTTCTGTTCTATCTACTTAATAGACCTTCCATTTGTGTTTGCAAGGTTGAACTTTGACAAACAAGAATCGGTTATGACACCATTTGGGGGGGAAATATGACTGAAAAACCTGAGGTCGTAACTCTTAACGACTCATATTCTCTCAAATTTAATATTTCTAATTAGTATGGAGAGGAAATTTTCACATCTTTTTAAATTAAATTGATTTGTTTATTTAGGTAAAGATGAATTTAAAAAAGAAAAAACCATTTTTTCCACTTGTTTTAAATGAGCTCAAACTTTGGATACTTAATGCCAACTAGATAAAATACTGAAACAAAATAAAAGGCCAAAATGGCATTGCTTAAAAAGGTTTCCGGTTGCAATTTTCCTGTACAAATTTAGTAAAAAGCATATGTTTTATTTGAGGACTTTTATTCAATTGAATATTTTCCCAGAAAATCTGAATATGCTCCATAGTAATCATTACTATTCACCTAAAAACCTCAAAGCATATTTTTCTCACCTGAAAATGCTAAAAAATGTAATTGTCATAAAATTCTTAAAAGCTTTTTATTTAAAGTTAGAGTCAGTAATTGACAAGTTGAACCAAGAAAATTCATTGAAGAAGTAAAATCAAGTTGGATTATGGGATTCATTTTTTACTAATGATAACAATATTTTAATTCATTTCAGACTTTGTCTGGACCATTCACAACTCTGCGGGTTTTCAGAGTGTTCCGTGTATTCAAATTCTCGCGTCATTCTCAAGGTCTCCGTATCCTTGGTTACACTCTCAGATCCTGTGCATCTGAACTCGGCTTCCTCCTCTTTTCCCTCACCATGGCTCTAATTATATTTGCCACAGTTATCTACTATGCTGAGCGGGCTGTCCCTAATACAACCTTCATTAGTATTCCTGCGGCATTCTGGTATACTATCGTGACAATGACCACTTTGGGGTAAGATTGGCTTCGATTTCCCCACTTGTTAGTAACCTGAGTGTACATTGTTAAAAAAGGCAATTGTTGCTTGACGAATGGTAGACACAATTAATTAATTAATTAAAACGTTTATTTTTACACACAAATAGCACAATATTTCGAAAAATGCACTGTCAATTAGAAGCTCTGTCAGTGTCATTTATTTGAATATTTATTTATTTATATCAAATGGTAGGCGTTTTAATAGGTATCATAAGCCCTTTAGTTGACTACGGGCTTCGTAAAGGGGAGGAGGAACATCAAAGTGACAAAAAAGTCGATAGGAAGGAACGGAAGAGTGGTTTTAAGATGTAATAGAGACAGACACGAAGGTAGAGAAAAAGGTAAAATGAGTACTATGGAAGTGGTCGAAAATGACAAATAGCGGGGTCATGGTAGTTTGAAGTCAGAGGTCAAGTGCCGAATAATAGACATTTTTGCCGTATGAGTATACGTTGCCCAGGGTGCACCACGTGGAGGTTAGTCTATTGCGCACCCCATTTATTTGAATATAAAAGCGGGAACATAAATTTGAAATTCTAAATTTATGTTTGCTTCGAATTTCATCAAAATAAAGAAAATTATAGCAAAGACGCTAACGAAGTCAAGAGAGTAAACTAATATCCGAAAAATATCAAAAATTGAAAAAAATTATCCATAGGTAATTTTCCCGAAAATCTTACAATTAACGGAGAATTACTTTTAGCGAGACTATGTGCACTTAACCACAATAGTTGTGGGATCGATTCTAAAGCAAATCTTAAACATAATTGGTTCAACTATAGCTAATTCAAATCCACTCCGCTTTGGATTTAACTAGAGAGTAATGTAGGAAAAATGAATTCACGAAAAATGAACCATCTCGTCAAATGAGCTGTGGGTATTTGCGGACATGGACTTGTGTTTAGGACACAGAGGTCAATGCATTAAATTCGAATTTTTTTCGAGAACATTTGGACATTGCACAATGAACGCTATAAATGTTAAGGATATTCCAATTTCTAGCAAGATTTATGAAGAATGCCTCTATTTCAATCCGTCTCTTCTCCTCTGGTAAAATAGGGAAAACTTATTTTTGCAGTAGGATGAATAATACAAATGGGATTTTTTTCTACTGGTCAAAAAGTATTTAATGCACGCATATATATATATATATATATATATATCATTATTATGATTACTGCTGTTACTACCAATACTAGTATGAAGTTTTATGCAATTATTACTGTGAGAAAATATCTTAATTCGGTTAACAGAAAGTCAAACAATTGATTGGTAGGGATGGATAAAATGATGGAGCGATTGAAACGGGACAACAAAAAAGGTCTTGTTTCATCGAAATATTTTTGGTTCAGATTTAATGATATTTACTTCATGGTTAATTTTCGTTTTGAGCGTTGAAGAATAAGCAGAAAATACTTGTTTATTGAGTGGTGTTTAATGAAAAGTCAGTTAGAATGTGTGGTAAACTTATGACTTATTGTAAGCTCAAAATTTATTTATTTATATCAAATGGCAGGCGTTTTGAT